GTCACTCAGGCTGGAGTGTAGTGGCTCTATCTCGGCTCACTGCAACCTCTGTCTCACAGGTTCAAGCAATTCTCCCGAATAGCTGGGACTACAGGCGCCCACCACCACACCCAGCTAATTTTTGTATTTTTAGTGGAGATGGGGTTTCACCATGTTGGCCAGGCTGGTCTCGAACTCCTGACCTCAGGTGATCCACTCGCCTTGGCCTCCCAAAGTGCTGGGATTACACGCGTGAGCCATTGCGCCCGGCCCACGTTGAGTTTCTCTAGAAGGTTTTATGTATTTCTTTATTTTAATTTCTTGTTCTTTTTTTGAAAATGAGTCTCCCTCTGTCCTCCAGGCTGGAGTGCAGTAGGTGTGATCTTAGCTCACTGCAGCCTTTGCCTCCCAGGTTCAAGCAGTTCTGCCTGAGCCTCCTGGGTAGCTGGGATTACAGGCACCCACCACCACGCCCGGCTAATTTTTTTAATTTTTAGTAAAGATGGGGTTTCACCATGTTGGCCAGGCTGGTCTTGAACTCCTGACCTCAAGTGATTCGCCTGCCTCGGCTTCCCAAACTACTGGGATTACATGCATGAGCCACACACTCTGCCTAGCCCTGTTTACGCTTTTTGGCTGTTATAAATAATGCTGCTGTGGATATTTGTTTTCAGTTCTCTTGGATATTATACCTAGGAATTTTTATTGTGGTCAGGAGATACTTTCTATGATTTCAATGTTTAAGTTTATTAAGAATTGTTTTGGCCGGGCATGGTGGCTCATGCCTGTAATCCCAGCACTTTGGGAGGCCAATGAGGTCAGGAGATTGAGACCATCCTGGCTAACACAGTGAAACCCCGTCTCTACTAAAAATATAAAAAATTAGCCGGGCATGGTGGTGGGCACCTGTGGTCCCAGCTACTTGGGAGGCTGAGGCAGGAGAATTGCTTGAACCTGGGAGACGGAGGTTGCAGTGAGCTGAGATCGTGCCACTGCACTCCAGCCTGGGCGAGAGTAACACTCTCTTCCCCCCCACCGCCAAAAAATAATAGTAATTGTTTTATGGCCTACCGTGTGGTCTGTCCTGAAGATTATTCCATGTGTACTTGGGAAGAATGTGTATTCTGCTGTTGTGGGGTAAAGTGTTCTGTTGGTTTATAGCGGTGTTCAATTCCCCTACTTTCGGCCTTCTGTGTAGTTGTTTTATTATTGAAAGTAGGATATTAGATCGGGCGTGGTGGTTTATGCCTGTAATCCCAGCACTTTGGGAGGCCAAGGCAGGCCTTCTGCACTTGATATTTTTAGACTGTGATTGATGGCAGTTAGCTGAAAGCGGAAAGTGAAATCGATAAGGGGAAACTACGCTACATTTATTGTAACATGTTTTGAAATGTGTAGATGGGAGAGAGAGAGATTTATTAATTGGTACACATATACAGCTTGATAGAATAAATTAGACTTAGTGTTGGGTGACTATAGCTTACAGTAATCTTTTTCTTTTTTTTTTTTTGTTTGAGACGGAGTCTCACTGTGTTGCCCAGGCTGGAGTGCAGTGGCCGGAGCTCAGCTCACTGCAAGCTCCGCCTCCCAGGTTTACGCCATTCTCCTGCCTCAGCCTCCCGAGTAGCTGGGACTACAGGCGCCCGCCACCTTGCCCGGCTAGTTTTTTTGTATTTTTTAGTAGAGACGGGATTTCACCGTGTTAGCCAGGATGGTCTCAATCTCCTGACCTCGTGATCTGCCCGTCTCAGCCTCCCAAAGTGCTGGGATTACAGGCTTGAGCCACCGCGCCTGGCTAGTTTACAGTAATTTATGGTATGTTTCAAAATAGCTAGAAGAGAATAATTGGAATGTTTCGAGCAAAAAGACAAGCATTTAAGGAGATAGATATCCCAGTTATGCTGATTTGATCTTTACAAATTGTATAAATTATCACATGTACCCCCAATATACCCATATATGCATGTGTTATGCATCAATTAAACCAATTTTTGAAAGAAGTATGCATACATTGTGGAATAGCTAAATCCAGCTAATTAACATATGTATTACTTCACATACTAACCATTTTTTTCTGGCCAGTATACTTAAAATCTACTTTCATAGCAATTTTCAAGAATACTATATATTACTGTACAATGTATTTAGTATACATAACTGTACATAGCACATAACTATACATACTATACATGTTATTCTGTCATGTTATACAGTAGAACTCTGGAATTAATTCGCCAATCTGATGGAAATTTTTTGTTCTTTGACTGACATACTGACATCCCTGTTATAGCTTCCTGATGATTGGATCTGTCTTTTTTTTTTTTTTTTTTTTTTTGGAGACAGAGTCTCACTCTGTCACCCAGGCTAGAGTGCAGTGGCGCTAATCTAGGCTCACTGCAACCTCCGCCTCCCGAGTTCCAGCGATTCTCCTGCCTCAGCCTCCCGAGTAGCTGGGATTACAGGCTTATGCCACCAAGCCCAGCTAATTTTTGTATTTTTAGTAGACATGGTGTTTCATCATGTTGACCAGGCTGGTCTCAAATTCCTGACCTCAAGTGATCCGTCTGCCTTGGTCTCCCAGAGTTCTGGGATTACAGGCGTGAGCCACTGCGCCCGGCCGGTGATTGATTCTTGTGTCAATATATAATATCTTTGTCTCTTGTGCTTTTTGACTTAAAGTTTATCTGTGTGACTTAAAGTCACTTAAGTCTGATATTAGTGTAACTAACCGAGCTCTCTTTTAGTACTGTTTGCATGGAAAATCTTTTTGCATACTTGCATTACCATTTTTTCAAACCCTATCATTTTTGTTTTTTGGGATATGAAGGTGAGTCCTCCTTCTAGGATTACCATATTTTTTTTTATAGGTTAGTTGCAATTTCTTTTTTTTAGAATCATGTTTTTTAAATCTATATTGCCAATCTCTGTCTTTTGTTTAGAGAATTTAATCCATTTATATTTAAACCAATTACTGATAAGGAGTGACTTCTGCCATTTTGCTATTTGTTTTCTATATATTTTTCTTTTTCTTCCATTAATGCCGCCTTTTGTGTTTATTTTCTTGTAGTGTATTGTTTTAATTGCCTCCTCGTTTCCTTTTTTTTTTTTTTTTTTTGAGACAGTCTCGCTCTGTCGCCCAGGCTGGAGTGCAGTGGCATGATCTCAGCTCACTGCAACCTCCGCCTCCCAGGTTCATGCCATTCTCCTGCCTCAACCTCCCGAGTAACTGGAACTACAGGCGCCCACCACCATGCCCGGCTAATTTTTTGTATTTTTAGTGGAGACGGGGTTTCACCGTGTTAGCCAGAATGGTCTCAATCTCCTGACCTCGTGATGCGCCCACCTTGGCCTCCCAAAGTGCTGGGATTACAGGTGTGAGCCACCGTGCCTGGCCCCTCTTGTGTATATTTTAAAGTTATTTCCATAGTAATTACCCTGGAGATTATAATTTATATCTTTAATTAATTAATTTTGAGACAGAGTTTCACTCTTGTCACCCAGGCTGGAGTACAGTGGCGCGATCTCGGCTCATTGCAACCTCCACCTCCTGGGTTCAAGGGATCCTCCTGCCCCAGCCTCCTGAGGAGCTGGGATTACGGGCGTGTACCACCATGCCTGGCTAATTTTTTTTGTATTTTTAGTAGAGATGGGGTTTTACCATGTTGGCCAGGCTGGTCTTGAACTCCTGACCTCAGGTGACCCACCGTCTTCAGCCTCCCAAAGTGCTGGGATTATAGGCATGAGCCACCATACCCAGCCTCATTATTGTAAAATTTTAATGTTTTAACTATTTATTGACCATATGTCATAGTCATGTTGATTTGAATTTCTTTCACTATTGCATTTGAATCTTGGTATTTGTTTTTTGTAAATTGCTGTTTCCTTTGATCATTAGACACTTTATTAGCCTTTCATATGTGTTGCAGTTTATCTGAGCCTGGGCCTGATCCAGTGGGAGGTGTCTCTGTGAGTGGCATGGTCCATCTTGACTGGAGACAGGCAGGCAGTTCCTCCTACCAGAGAACGCTTGTTGGGCCAGCCCCAGGGCCTCTTAAATCACTCATTCATTCAGCAGAAATGCACAGATGCCTCCCGTGGGCCAGGTCTGTGCTGGTGCTTGGGAAATGGCAGGAACCAGACATTCCTGTCCCACACCTTGTGAACAGACAGACTTACAGGGTGGCACCAAGTAAGTAAGATGGGTGGGGCGTCATCTCAGAACATAGCTTTTCTGCTGAGCTGTGCTGGTTTGGTTTTGTTTTTGTTTTTGGGTTTTTTGTTTGTTTGTTTGTTTGAGACAGAGTCTTGCTCTGTCGCCAGGCTGGAGTGCAGTGGCACCATCTCGGCTCACTGCAACCTCTACCTCCTGGGTTCAAGCAATTCTCCTGCCTCAGCCTCCCAAGTAGCTGGGACTGAGGCACATGCCGCCATGACTAGCTAATTTTTTTTTTATGTATTTTAGTAGAGATGGGGTTTCACTGTATTGCCCAGGCTGGTCTTGACCTCCTGAGCTCAGGCAATCCGCTCGCCTCGGTCTCCCAAAGTGCTAGAATTACAGGCGTGAGCCACCGCGCCCAGTTGCTGGTTTTAATTTTGTATGGGCTTAGAAAAATGTTGATGTTGGCTGGGTGCCATGGCGCGTGTCTGTAGTCCTAGCTACTCAGGAGGCTGAGACAGGAGAATCGCTTGAACCCTAGAGGTGGAGGTTGCAGTAAGCCAAGATCGCGCCACTGCACTCCAGCCTGGGCGACAGAGTGAGACTCTATCTCAAAAAAAAAAAAAAAAAAATTGATGTCCTCATATTTGCCCGTCATGTCCCTGAAATGAGAAGTCAGATTGTTCCCTCCATCTCAGCAACTCGACCTTGGTGGGATCAGGAGGGCCAGTCCTCAGGGCAGACCTGGAGAAGGAATCGCTCTTGAGCACAGTGGGCCCAGGCCCTCCTCTGTGGGAAGCACAGGGTTGAGAACCTTTAGCTTTCTTCTGGAGGTTCACCTCACCTGACAGGCACTTCCTTCCAGAACAGATGTCCCACTGCTTGCCGATGGCTGAGCCCCAGGAGACAGTGCTAGCACTTCCTCCGAGAGAAGGTAGGCGCCTCTCACCTGCACAGGTAAATCCCCACTGAGGTTTGGGGGCAAGAGGAAATGGAGAGCCCATGGCAGAAGGATTTCCCTTGCATCCTTCCCGCAGCAACCCCAAGTTGTTCTCTCACCCATTTGCTCCTCTCCTTACCCAGTGTGGCTTGACGTCTGGGACGGTGGCAGGTGGGCAGGGGGACCACAGTATTCTGTCCTGTTTGCAGGGGTGCAGGCAGCCGCCACCATGCCCATCCCCCTGTCCGGCCTGGAGGATGGCTTGTCAGACCATACCCTGGACCAGGGGCCCCGCTGCCCTGCCCGGCGGGCCTGCAGCCCTGCCTCGGCTCCAGCTCCTACATCGCCGAAGAAGCCCAAGATGCAGGTGCCTGGGGACACGTTTCCCACCGACTGGAGCCCCCCGCCCGTGGAGTTCCTCAATCCAAGGGTGCTGCAGGCCAGTCAGGAGGCCCTGGCCCAGAGGTGGGTGGGTGTGTCGGGCCCCCAGGGCCTGAGGAGACTGGCCGGTGAGCTGCCCGAGGAGTCGGAGCAGGAACACCTGCACTTGGACCCGAAGAGGGGCCTGGCCTTGCCGGAGAAGCTGTTCTGGAACACGGCAGGCCCGAGCCAGCAGGCTGCAGCCCCAGAGGTGAGCCTGTGTCCACCCTTGGCCTCTCCTCCTTGGCTACCCATCTTTAGCCACCCCTTTACAGTGACCCCAGGCCACCCCCTCCTCAGCCACGCCCCAGCTGCCCTTCCTCAGCCACTTCCCCTTGACCATCCCCCCTCAGCCCTTGGGCCTTCATGGCTGGAAGCGCAGGCCCCCAAGGCCAGGATGCACCTCGCCCTGTGTCTCCACCCGTAACTCCTGCTGACAGATGGCTTCGGGTGGCACCAAATTTGATGCCATTTCATGGGTCCCCTTGAGGCTTTCATGGCTGAGGTTAGGGTGATGGCCCCGGAGCACGGAGGGATCTCAGAGCTGAGCTCTGGGCTTGGTTGTCCGCAGAGACTCAAGCCGACTCTGGTCCAGTGGATGGGGAGTCCTAAATGAAACTTCGGTGATGAACTTCAAATTGGGAGTAAGCTCCTGCTGCTCTGTAGACCGCGGGGCGTTTACAGGCCGTGGATGGAGAACACTTATTCTAAGAATGGGCTTCAGCTGTTTGTAACAGCCTGAGAGAGAGAAGGGAGAGGGGGACAGAGGGAGGGAGAAAAAGAGAGAGAGAGGGAGTGGGGGAGAGGGGGAGAGGGGGAGAGAGGGAGAGGGAGGGAGAGGAGAGGGAGAGGAGGAGAGGGCAATGGGGAGGGGCACAGTGGGGAAGGGGACGGGGAGAGAAGCTCTTTGGCTTTGGTAGGGAATGATGTTAGATCATTGAGGTTGAAGAGTATGGTGCAGGATAGAGCCTGGTGCACGATAGGCTGTGTGGTGGGATGTGCTGGCACCTGTGATGCGGTACTGTTTGCTGTCTCTGTGTGAAGTGTCTCTGAAAGCACACGAGGAATGCCCGTCCTGTAGGCACCTGTGGGGAGGGAACAGGTGGCTGGGGGTGGGGCCGGGAGACATTTTACCCTGCGCCTTTATACTTTCTGATTTTTTAATCATGTGAACATAGTATTTTTTCAGAAAAGCAAACAAAATAAATGAAGGGCTTAATATAGTTTTTTTTTTAATTTTTTTCCCCTCTATCTTTGTCCTTTTCTGTCGTCCTTATTCCCACGTCCTGTTTCTCCAGTTATCCTGGAGGGTCTCAGGAAGCTACTTCAACAACCTGGACTACTTACTGCAGGAGAAGAGGTGAGCACAGGGCGTGGCCTGTCGTGGGATGCTTGTTTCTGCAGGGTTGGCAGCAGTCCCGGGACTCACTGCAGAGTCTGGTCAGAGGGCGGCAGCCTCCCACCCAGACTCAGCCTGACCTGTGTGCTCTGATCAGTAACAGGCACGGGGGACGGTCGCCAGGGCAGGGGGTGACATCACCAAGGCAGAGAGCCCCCAGACTCCTACCACAATCAGAGCCCTCCTTCTGGGTCCCCTCTCCACTTTGGCTCCATTCTGCCCAACTCCTGCCAGTCCTAGGGTGTCTCCTCCCACTCAAGGGTTACGTGAGAGGAAAGTGGAAAAGCAGACCGCTTTGTGGCTTAGGGTTACAGCCTGGCTGTGGCTGGAGGGTCATGCTGGGCAGACGGGACTTCCTAACATTTCTGCTGCCACCTTCTTCCCCAGCACGAAGGCATGCTTTGCCCATTTTCCCATCCACTCTGAGTTTCACACTTGCCTTCTCCCCGCATATTAGCTTCTAACTAGCTCTCTCCCTGTCTGCCCTAAGTGGTTTCCAAAGACAGTGCTGAAGGCAGCAGTCACCTCTAATGAGATTGGAAATCCCTAGGGAGGTACAGGTGGCTGGGGACTGACAGGGGTCGTCTTCATGGGGGCACGCTATTTGATGGCACGTGAGCAGGTTATTCACACTTCCTAAGTCTTTGTCCTGTCCTGTTGTTGTGTCGTGTTGTTTTTGTTCAGTGCATGTCTATTGTGTTTGCAGAAGTTAAGTGTGGGTGGGGGCAATGCCACTCGGGAACACCCAGCTCTCCTGGTGGGAGGATTGATGCCCTCTCTTTTGACCCTCCTCAGGGTTCCCAGCCCTGTTGGCAGGGAGCTCCTCATGCACTGGGATGAATTATTATTCAGTCTGTTCCTGCCCCTCTGCCCCGCCATGGAGTCATGTCATCTGCCTCTGCTGTGCAGCCCCTCTGGGCTCCTCCGACCCGGGGACTTGCGTTGTTTAGCTCCTTCACCTCAGTAGATTTTCTCCCATTAGATTGTACGTTAGGGAAGGGACCATGCCTATAGATTTCCACGGTGCCCAGCATGGTGATGTACATTTAGTAGACGCTTGAAATTATTGGCAGGAAAATGATCAGCTGGGGCCTCCTCGTGCCTGCTTGTTGGTGTGCCTGGCATTGGGAGGGTCCTGCTCTGTGCTGGTCAGCTTGGGCTGCTGTAACAGGATGGCACACACTGGGGCTTAAACAACAGTTATTTCTCCCAGTTCTGGTGGCCAGCAGCCCAGGATTGAGGTTCCGGTCAGTCGGTGCCTGGTGAGGGCTCTCTCTCTTGCTCCTTTTTTTTTTTTTTTTTTTTTTTTTGAGACGGAGTCTCACTCTGTCACCCAGGCTGGAGTGCAGTGGCCGGATCTCAGCTCACTGCAAGCTCCGCCTCCCGGGTTCACGCCATTCTCCTGCCTCAGCCTCCCGAGTAGCTGGGACTACAGGCGCCCGCCGCCTCGCCTGGCTAGTTTTTTGTATTTTTTTAGTAGAGACGGGGTTTCACCGTGTTAGCCAGGTTGGTCTCAATCTCCTGACCTCGTGATCCGCCCGTCTCGGCCTCCCAAAGTGCTGGGATTACAGGCTTGAGCCACCGCGCCCGGCCTCTTGCTTCTTGCTGTGTCCTCTCACGTGGCAGAGAGAGCACAAGCTCTCCGGTGTCTCTTCTTTTAAGGACGCTAATCCTGTGGGATCAGGGCCCATCCTATGACCTCATTTTACCTTAATTACTTTCTTACTCCAAATACATCTACACTGGGGAGAGGGCTTCAACATAGGGATTCTGGGAAGACAGACATTTAGTCCACAGCATGCTGTGTGCTGCGCCGCACCAGGCTCTGGGTAGTGGAGCTGACGGCGCAGCCTCTGCTTCCCTGGCAATTTAGCGTCATGATCTCATACTCCCCACACTGTCTCATCGCCACGGAGGAGCCCAGAAGAGTGACACCTAACTTGGAGTCGGAAAAGGCTCCCAGATGTGTCCTTGTCACTGAACCTTGCAGGAAAAGTTTGGTTTGGCAGGAGGGGGATGACTGCACATGTAAAGGTGGGTAAGACAGACTGTGCCGGCCAGGACCCACATTTTCAGTGCAGAGGGGTTGGAGGGGCGAGGCAGGAGATGCAGCCAAAATAAGATGTGCAGGGGGCTGGAGTTTGAGGGGCCTTGTTGAACCCAAGGCTGAGTTGTGGGAGAAACTGAAGCAGGCAGAAATATGTTTTCTCTTGTTTAAGAAAGTGCAGGCTGCATATGGAGAAGGGATGGAAAGGGCAAGAGAGGTACAGTGATGGGGGCTGAGGGGGCCTGGGATGGGGCTCACAGCCAGGAGGCCCCTGGCAGGAGGGCGATGGGGCTTCTGGTGGCCTGGGTGGTAGACACGGGTCATTGGAGGGGCCCGGTCACATTCAGCTGGAAATCACTCAGTGAGTGGCTGGCTAGCAGGATCTGAGCTCACAACAGGCCTGGGGTGGAGAGAAAATGTTAGAGAACTGAGGACCCATGGGCACAGCCAGGATGGGCACCTGGAGGGGCCAGACAGGGACTGGGGAGGCTCCCAGGGCTCTCTCCACAGCCTGGGCGCGAGGACAAGGAAGGCTGCGTTGGTTTGCAGGGCGGGAGGAGGGTGAGGGTCGGGGCTCTGGCTAGGTAACAGGTGTGTGGGGCCTATTGTGGGAGCCAGTGGAAAGAGGAAGTGAGGCACGCAGGGGCTAGTGGTGGAAAACAGAGCCCCAGGAGCCAGGCGGGAAGGGTAAGGAGAGAAAGGGAACGAGTCGGAGCAGAGGACTGCCCTAAGTGGCTGCAGTCAGGCCATGCAGATATCGGGGATGCCGAACAGCCAGGGCACAAGCTCTTTCCTGGTCACGTGGCTGAGGAGCAGCAGGGCTAGCCCTCGGCCTTGGTGTGTTAAAAAACAGAGTGAAGCCGAGTGCTTGCCTACTGTCCCTTGAGAGGCTGAGGTGGGCAGTCGCTTGAGCCCAGTCATTTGAGGCTGTCGTACGCTTTGGTCATGTCTATAAAAAGCCGTTGCACTCTGGCCTAAGCAACACAGTGATGTCTGGTATCAAAAAAAAAAAAGGGTGCACAAGTAAAGATGCGTTGGGAGTTGTGTGGTGAGAACCGTCTCTTTCTGGCCCGCCTGCTCCTCTCTGCTCATCTGGGGAAAGCACAGTCTATGTAACGCAACCCGTCCCCATTGCCTTAAAAATCTGTGTGAGCGGCTTTGCAGGGAGACCAGCCAGGACGGCGCGGCCCTCTGGCCCCGAGGTCTTGCCGTGTTGGTGGGAATCCCTGCAGCCCAGTGACAGGGCTGCACAATGGGGAACAACACTGACCCCCGACTCTGGCCCTCGACTTCCTGTAGGGAACAGGCCCTGGAGCAGGAGCGCGAGAGGCTGCTTCTGCAGGAGTGTCTCAATCTCAACTCCTTGGATCTTGATGAAGATGAAGTGCCACTCACACCCGAGCACAGGTGAGGGACAGGTGAGGACAGAGGCACCAGCCTCTGAAGGGGAAGGACCAAGGTGCCAGCCCCCCTCTGGTTTTGGACAGAGTTTTGACCAAAATGGTCCAGCAATTTGTGGACTATTTGTGAATTCTAAAGCTACCTCCTTTTCTTAAAGCCACATCCGTTCATTGATTCGAGAAATGCCTGATCACTGTGCATCAGGGTCTCATTTGAGCCTTTGCCACGCAGGGATCATAAAACACAGCTTGCTCTGCCCCGATTATCTGCCCAAATTCATGGAACCAGATCTCTTGGGAAAATAACTACACAAAACCACGGTCTAAATGAAATCTGCTTTCACGGGGAGGTTATGACCATGTGAGATTTTTCATCTTCCCCTGACTGGAGAAGAGAAGGTAGCTCTGAGTGGGCGCCCTGATTTAATTGGGCCATTGGCTGGAGGAAGGGCTGGCTTCATCTCTACCTAGAAGCATCAGAGATGCCCAGGACCACAACCGAATCCATCTTCAGGGCACGCTGTTCTCCATCTGTCTTGGTCTGTTGGGGCTGCTAGAACAAAGGCCCATAGACTGGTGGCTTCTGAGCAGCTGAAGTCTGTTTCCCACAGTTGTGGAGGCTGGAGGTCCGAGACCCGGGAGCCAGCAGGGTCAGGCCTGGTGAGAGCGCTCTTCCAGGTTGCAGACTGCCTAAGTCTCTGTCCTCACGTGACAGAAAGAGGCAAGAGAGCTCTCTGGGGCCCTTTCGTAAGGGTGCCGATCCCATTCATGAGGGCTCCACCCTCGTGCCTCATCACCTCCCAAAGGCCCCACCTCCTAATACCTTCACCCTGGGGGTGAGGATTCAACACATGTATTTTGGGGAGACACAAACATAAAGCTTGTAACGCCATCCATTCACCCCCTTGTCCATCTGTTCATCCATTCACCCCGCCGACATTTACTGAGTGCCAACCATGTGCCAGGCTCTGCTGTAGCTTCGGGATGTGGCGGGAACAAAACCAGACGGATCTCTGCCTTCCCGCTGCTTGAGCTTTTCCTTCCGGAGACAAGCAGTGAGTGAGATCAGTGAAGCTGTGCCACAAGGCTCCTGAGAGAGGCTAACGCTGGGGGCATAAGGAGTGCTGGGAAGGGTGCGGGCTCTGATGATTTAGGCTCTGATGATGAAGGATGTGGGCTCTGATGATGAACGGATGTGGGCTCTGGGAAGGGTGTGGCTGTGATGAGAGCTCAGGGAAGGCCTTGTGAGCAGGTGTTTTAAGTAGCACCTCGAGGAGGTGAGAGCCAGTTCCAGGGACCCTGCCGTGGGAGCGCACCTGGTGTGTGGGAGCCTGGAGGAGGGGGCTGGTGGGGGATAGGAGGTGAGGGAGACCAAGGTTAGGCACTGGCTCTTGGAGCCTTTCCTCTGAGTTAATCGGACACGTGTCTGCACAGGACCCTCTGGCTGCTGTGTTGAGGATAGACCAGTTAGGTGTGGAGGCCAGGGCAGAAGAGAGGGATCAGGAGCAGAGGAGGCCTTGGCGGGAATCCAAAAGTAATGATGGTGCTTGAGGATGGGGTAGACGCCGAAGAGTGGGCAAATTCTGGGTGTATTTTTAGGGTAGAAATGACAAGATTTGCTGACAAATGGTTGGAAGGTATAGGAGAAAGGAATCAAAAGGGACCCCGGCAGCTTGGGTCTGAGCAACTGGAAGATTGGAGTTATCTTTAGATAAATAGGGGAGGCTGCGCACGGTGGCTCATGTCTATAATTGCAACACTTTGGGAGGCCGAGGCAGGAGGATTGCTTGGGCCCAGGAGTTTAAGCCCCAGCAACATAGGAAGATCTCATCTTTCCTAAAACGTTTTTTTTAAATTACCCAGATGTGGTGGCACATGCCTGTAGTTCCAGCTACTAGAGAGGCTGAGATAGGAGGATCACTTGAGCCTGGGAGGTTGAGGCTGCAGTGAGCTATGATCGCACCACTGCACCCCAGCTGAGTGACACAGCAAGACCTTATCTCTTAAAAAAAAAAAAAAAAAAAAAAAAAAAAGTCCGGGCGCAGTGGCTCACGCCTGTAATCCCAGCACTTTGGGAGGCCGAGGTGGATGGATCACAAGGTCAGGAGATCAAGACCATCCTGGCTAACACAGTGAAACCCCATCTCTACTAAAAATACAAAAAATTAGCCGGATGCGGTGGCGGGTGCCTGTGGTCCCAGCTACTCGGGAGGCTGAGGCAGAAGAATGGCGTGAACCCGGGAGGCAGAGCTTGCAGTGAGCTGAGATCGCGCCACTGCACTCCAGCCTGGGCGAGAGCGAGACTCCGTCTCAAAAAAAAAAAAAAAAAAATGGGGGGAGACTGAGTGCCCTACACGCTGCAGGTGGGATGGGCTTGGAATCAAGGGTTCATTTGGGGCATCCTGGGGCGAGATCAGGGAGCTACTTGGAGACCCAAGCTTGGGAGTCACTGTGTACGGGTGACATTTAAAGCCACAAAACCGGGGCCGAGCACAGTGACTCTCGTCTTACAATCCCAGCCCTTTGGGAGGCTGAAACAGGTGGATCACTTGAGTCCAGGAGTTTGAGACCAGCCTGGCCAACATGGTGAAACCCTGAACCCTGTCTCTACTAAAAATACAAAAATTAACTGGGCGTGGTGGCGCGTACCTGTAATCCCAGCTACTAGGGAGGCTGAGGCATGAGAATTACTTGAACCCAAGAGGCAGAGGTTGCAGTGAGCCGAGATCACACCACTGCACTCCAGCCTGGGCAACAGAGCAAGACTCCATCTCGAAAAAAAAAAAAAAAATTATCAGAAAAACAAAACAAAACAGCAATATTTTTAGTAGAGACAAGGTTTTGCCATGTTGGCCAGGCTGGTCCTGAACACCTGGGTTCCCGGGCTCAAGTGATCTCCCTGCCTTGGCCTCCCCAAGTGCCGGGATTACAGGCGTGAGCCACCATGCCCAGCCTGATAATCATCTCTTAACTAAATCAAGGATCAGCAAACTTTGTGAAAAGTTTGTAAATAGCAAATATTTTAGGCCTTGAGGACAAGGCGGTCTGTGTCAACTCTGCTGCTGCGGCAGGAGGCTCCTGCAGACGCTGGGTGAATGAATGCGCATGGCTGTGCTGCAGTGGGCCCTTATTGCAGAAACAGGCCCCACGCAGGACTCGGCCTACACGGTGTACTTTGCCTGGCCCAAGTTAGAAGGACCCCTGCCTCCTGACTGGTGCCAGTTTTTACGGTGAAAGTTTGGGAATGTGTTGCGATTTGAGCAGCCGTCCCAGATGGACAAAGAGAGCTCCTCGCACACTGCCCAGAGGTCCAGGGAAAGGCAGCCGGCCATGGAGTCCCACATGGACTCCCACAAGGCAGGTGCTGCTTCCTGTCTGATGTTGCAGGAAGCATGTGGATGGACATGGTGGGGCATGAAGCCTGAATTTAATTAGTGTGTTTAGGGCCAAAGGCCTTCTTCGGCAAGAGCACTTTGGCAGCATTATATTTGATGAAAGCAACTTTCTCTCTGAGCTGAGGTGCATGGAATTGGTTTCCAGGTTCTCCAGTCACTAGCTGCATAACCATGGAATCAAACCTTTTGAAACCTAAATCTCTGCAGCAAGAGTAATTCTTCCAGCTCTGTATCTTCCTGCCGAGTACCTCCAGCATTCCGAAGTCATGGCTTGGATGTTTTGAAACTGCTCAGAGGAAGGGAGTTATGTGTGCAACCAGCTTAACGCAGAAGGTAGTCCTGGCTTGGAAAACGCTAGTAATGCGCTGGGCGCGTGACGTTTTCCAGTGCTGCTTTGAGAAAGCCTCTTTGACAACAGCCCCTTTGAGGTGGTGGTTTTGATGTGGGATCATTTGGATGGGACTGTTCAGCTTTACAAAAGTCATTCACCAGTGTACAAAGCCAGCAGCCTCTTCCATCCCTGAATAGGGCCAGGGAAGGGGGTGCAGGTCAGGAAGGGGTGCTCAGGGTGGGGGCTGACCACCGCCTGCCAGACAAGGCGTCATCTAATTGCCACAAGTGCCCGTCACAGAAAGGACCCCTGACAGTCGCGAGCGAGCATCTGTGCATGCTCTCACAATCGGCTTGCATCTTGAATGGGTGACATCCTCAATTCTCCATTTCTTAAAGTTAAAAGACCTTGCGTGTGTGCTGAGCCTGGGGCAGAGGCAGATACTTAAACCACAACATCATCCTTTATTCTCAGCTCTAGGCTGCACAGGAAATCCCCAATTAGATGTGTAAGAGTCGCCTCAGGACTCCTAATAATGCACATACATTACAGCCAGCATCACAGAAGTCCCTTTAAAAGATGGTTTTAGGGACAGGGCTAGGACCCCTTTATAGATTAGCCTGGTTCTTACAGGCTTTTTTTCTTTTTCTTTTTCTTTTCCTTGTCTTAGACAGAGTCTCCAGCCAGGGCTGGAGTGCCGTGGCACGGTCTCGGCTCACTGTAGCCTCCACCTCCCAGGTTCAAGCAATTCTCCTGCCTCAGCCTCCCTTTTTTTTTTTCCTCTTTGAGACAGAGTCTTGCTCTGTCACCCAGGCAGGAGTGCAGTGGCACAATCTCGGCTTTCTGCAACCTCCGCCTCCCAGGTTCACGCAATTCTCCTGCCTCAGCCTCCCGAGTAGCTGGGATTACAGGTGCCGGCTACCATGCCCGGTTAATTTTTGTATTTTTAATAGAGATGGGGTTTCACCATGTTGGCCAGGCTGGTCTCGAACTCCTGACCTCAGGTGATCCTCCCGCCTCGGCCTCTCATAGTGCTGAGCCACTGCACCTGGCCTAGGCTTTTAATCATTTGTTCATTTTTTCAGACTAAAAAACAAGCAATAGATACAAAACTCTTAATGGCAAAGACATGAACCAAACAAGAACTTGTTTTACCGTTTATGTGGTGGTTTGGTGAGATGCTTTCGGAAGCCTGCCAGGGTCAGAGTCCTCCCGGGTCTGCTGCATCATTCCCGTTTGTTGTGCCATTTCATTCTCAGGAGCACCCTGTGACGTGTATCAGGGCCTTACTTTGGGTCACTTAGCCAGAAAGTGAAACAGGTTCCATGTGCTAGGCTGGTGGGCCGAAGGCGACGCCACGCCACACCCAGTGCCAGCTGCTCATGTCCAGATCCTAAGGGGGCCTCTGGGCTGTTCCGCCCCTGGGTTTGCTGTCTCAAACAGTGGGCCTGGCTGGGGACCAGGGAATGGGCCGTCTCTTGATGAGAGGAAGAGAGGCAGTGTCTAGAGCTTGTTGTATTTTATTGTTCCTGTTGTTAAATGTGTGTTATATTGCTGTAAAATCGCCCAGAACACACTTACATGAAGTAAAGAAGAAGTTGCCTTCTCTTCCTCTCCCCTCCCTCTGATTCTGCTCCCTGGGGTGACCCTCAGTCGTAGTGGGATATGTCATATGCTGGGGGTGGGCATTGCACGTGTCTGCGCACGTCCGTGTCCATGCATGTGTGTAGGCTTGTGTGTGTGTGCACAGACACACACACACACACAGCCTCTGCTGCTGTTTTCACCCATGAACTTACTGGGCTCAGCCACGTTGCCGATCCTTCTTTATGTAGATTTAGCTCATTCTTGGGAAACATCTTCGCTGCCTCCCTTTTCCCCATCCGCATTTCAATGGGTTGTTAAGTCCTGACAGTTTTCACCTCTCTCTGATACTGTTGCAATGTATCCCTTCTCCTCATTCTTTCTCTGTCCATGGGGCCAGCTTCCCTCCACTAAATCAGACTCTCTGTGCCGGGCCAGGCTGGTCCCGGGATCTGCATTGCAGCAGCTGCCTGGGTGGTTCTCAGAGCCCTGGAGCTTGAGGACTGCCGCCCCTGAGGGAGAATCTGGGCTCCTTCATACGGGCTCGAGACCCTCCTGCTTCCGCCCACACCCATGCCGCCTGCTTGCCAGCCTTCCTGCCCCTCCCAGGACGCCCTCCCTGACCCTGGCCGCACCCAGCGCTCCTCTCCTGGGCCCTTATGGAGCCGCCCTGTAGGCCTCTCTGTCCACTCGCCAGACGGGATTGCCGTGGGTTGTTCATGCCCTTCCTGGGTGGTCCATTCCCGACTCACCTTCCATACCTGGCATTGTCGACGTGCCGCGAGTGAAAAGTCTGACCTGACAGAGCCAGTGGGTGGGGTTGGGTCTTCTGGCTCCGGGACTGGTGCCCTGAGCCAGGGATGGGCCTTACTGATGGGAGAGCGAAGGGCTCCTGCGTGCCCGGGTGGGCTCTTCTTCCATCAGCAGGTGGCGCTGTCCCCCTGGTCTGCCGTAAGGACTGCGAGGGAGGGAGCCCCGGGCCCCCTCTGTCCTTCCCTGGGCCGATGGCCGTGCCTCAGGCCAAGGTGCATCTGCTGATACCCGGCCCTCCTGTCCCTTCCCTTGCCAGGATGCTGGTGGAAAAGTATTCAGTGTCCCTGCAGACCATCCCGCCGGTCCATCCAGGTGAGACTGTGTTTCTGCCCAGGCGTCACTCCCTGCCCTGCATCCTGGACTCCTCACACCTGAAGCCACGCAGCCACCTGGAAGGGCTGTTCCTCAGGTAAGTGTGGGGAGGAGGGGTGAGGGGGTGGCGCAGCCTGTCCAGGACCCCCCCCTCCTGGAGTCCAGGGATAAGGGCCACCTGAAAGGGGGAAATTTGAAGAGGTGATCAGACCAATTTGAATGTGTCAGTTTTTAGAGAGATAGGTGATGTTGTCTACTTACAGTATGTCATTTACTAATTTTGTTGCACATAATTGAAACATTCCCACATTATAGCAAGTAGCCAGTTGTTCCTTTACAGGTTCATGTTGCTTTTTTCTCCCCTATGCCCCAGTGTGGCAGGACAGCAGACTCAGCATGGGTGTCTTGGGGCTGGGTCTCTGTCAGCACTGGCTCCTTCCCGGGCCATCCAGGGCATGTAATGGGCCTTTCCACCTACTTGTTGGATGGACTTCAGTGTGTGATGCTGACACTGAAAAGCCTGTCCCCAGCCACAGACACACACTAACAATACAACAGCTGTCTTATTCTCTGTGGGAGTAAATTCATGATCATTATCACATAACCATTGACTATATTGCTTTTTGAGAGAATTTTTTTTTTTTTTTTTTTTTTGAGACGGAGTCTCACGCTGTTGCCCAGGCTGGAGTGCAGTGGCGCGATCTCGGCTCACTGCAAGCTCCGCCTCCTGGGTTCACGCCATTCTCCTGCCTCAGCCTCCTAAGTAGCTAGGACTACAGGCGCCCGCCACCGCGCCCGGCTAATTTTTTGTATTTTTTAGTAGAGACGGGGTTTCACTGTGGTCTCGATCTCCTGACCTTGTGATCCGCCCGCCTCGGCCTCCCAAAGTGCTGGGATTACAGGCTTGAGCCACCGCGCCCGGCCTTTGAGAGAATTTTTAAAAGATTTACCACAACGGTATCCAACACTTGGAATTAGGAGCTAATATATCCAAGAAGAAGAGGAAGGAAAGCCCGCAGGGTTCAGTGCAGCGGCGTCTGCTGGGTGCTCACACAGGCTGATGCCCTGTGGGGCTGGAGGCCAGGGCCGTGGAGAAGGGGCTGTCCTCGCCCACCCAGTGAGGAGCAGAGGTGGAGCTGCTTCTGTGGTCTCTTCAGCCACCTTAGGACTTGAACGCCAGAGTCTTGCTCTCTTTTCCAGTTTTACAGGGCTTATGTTTATTTCATGAATTCCAAGTCCATCTTATTGTATGATACAAGGTTACTTTTAACATTTTCGTATGCTTTCTTTAGAAGTTTTTATCGTAGGAAGTTAACAAGTACATATCAAAGTATAGAGAACCATGTAACATTCCTCCACACTCCCATCACTCACTTTCAACAAGGATCAACTCAAAGCCAGTCTTGTTTCCTCTCAACATCTGCCCACAACGCCATTACCTCAGGATTATTATTATTATTTTTTGAAATGGAGTCTCGCTCTGTTGCCCAAGCTGGAGTGCAGTGGCACGATCTGGTTCACTGCAACCTCCGCCTCCCGAGTTCAAGCAATTCTCATGCCTCAGCCTCCTGAGTAGCTGGGATTACAGGTGCCTGCCACTACGCCCGGCTAATTTTTGTACTTTCAGTAGAGACGGGGTTTCACCATGTTGGTCAGGCTGATCTCGAACTCCTGACCTTGTGATCCGCCCACCTCGGCCTCCCAAAGTGCTGGGATTACAGGCATGAGCCACCGTGCCCGGCCACCTCAGGATTACTTTTTTTGTTTGTTTGTTTGAGACAGGGTCTCGCTCGTCACCCAGGCTGGAGTGCAGTGGTGTAATCTCGGCTCACTGCAAGTTCTGCCTACCGGGTTCACGCCATTCTTCTGTCTCAGCCTCCCGAGTAGCTGGGACTACAGGTTCCCACCACCACGCCCGGCTAATTTTTTGTATTTTTATAGAGATGGGGTTTCACCGTGTTAGCCAGGATGGTCTCGATCTCCTGACCTCATGACCCGCCCACCTCGGCCTCCCAAAGTGCTGGGATTACAGGTGTGAGCCACGACGCCCAGCCCACCTCAGGATTACTTTTAAGCAAATCCTCAGACACAGAAAATTTAATCTACAACTACTTCAGTTTGTGTCTCTAAAACATAAGACTCTATTTTTAGACATAACTTCGATATTACTATCATACCTGAAGAAATAGTAGTTTCTTAATAGTGCTAGTATCAGTTAGTGCTCAGATTTCAATTTTCTTTTCTTTTTTCTTTTTTTTTTAGTATTTTGAGATGGAGTCTCACTCTCGCTCAGGCTAGAGTGCAGTGGCGCCTTCTCGGCTCACTGCAATCTCCGCCTCCCTGACTGAAGCGATCCGCCCACCTCAGCCTGCTGAGTGGCTGGGATTACAGATGTGTGCCACCGCTCTAGGCTAATTTTTGTATTTTTTGTAGAGATGGGAGTCTTGCCATGTTGCCCGGGCTGGTCTCGAACTCTGGGGCTCAAGTGATTCTCCTGCCTCAGCCTCCCAAAGTGCTGGGATTACAGACGTGAACCACTGCACCTGGCGTTCAATTTTCTTTAGATATTTTTTATAGATTCTTCAAATCAGAATCTGAACAACGTCCAAACATTGCAATTAGATAAAATGTTAATAATGAAATAATACTTTATTACATTGATGCCCTAACGTATTTAACCATTTTTCTCATTTTTTGAACATAGAAGTTTTTTCCAACTTTATTATAAATCATACGGTGGGGAATATTGGGGAGTATTTGTTTGGAGGTCTAAAGTGTGTTCATAGCTGCAGTGTGAGGTCATTGGGTCTGATTGTAAGAACGTGAGGGCTCACGTCACCATGTTGGAAAGGGCAGTGTGAGGTCATTGGGTCTGATTGTAAGAACGTGAGGGCTCACGTCACCATGTTGGAAAGGTATTTAATAGAGAGATATATGGTGAAAAGAAAAGAAGAAAAGAGCTGAAGAAAGGAGAGAGCCAGAGAATGTCTGGGCAGGAACCGAGGTGGCCAGCGGGGAAAGAAGGCGTCTTCCTGGGCTGCTTCAGTGTGTGCCGACAGCAGGTTTTCCGTTCTAGAGTGGATGGCAGGCAGGAAGTGCTGGACAGATGAGATGGCCCGTGGAGCGGTGACCTGGGATCAGAGCAGGCCTGCCAAATGGGGCCAGGTGGCTGCCCAGCTTCCCTGGAGTGAGGGCTCAGACCCTCCTCCCTGAGATATGCTAATGGGGCTCGGTAGAGAGGGTGCTGCCGGCACCTGAGATCTGCAGCCTTAGAAACTGGCTTTGGGCTTTCTCGAGGGAATGCCTGCTGTGTGGCTGTGACTCAGTCCTGGGACCTCTGCCGGGCAGTGGCGAGGCCACTTCCTGGAGGTCGCCATTTAGCCCTGGGTCATCTTTCATTTCCTGCCTGTGCCAAGGACTTCAAGGCCAGACTGACTAGTGGGAAAACACTAGTCAGTCGTTCAATAATGTTACTATATTCAGCCAGAAATGTGGCCGTGGTGGCGGGTGACGAGGGGATCTCTTAAGCAGTCAGCCGGGCACGGTGGCTCATGCCTGTAATCCCAGCACTTTGGGAGGATCGGTTGAGCTCAGGCGTTCTAGACCGGCCTGGCCAACATGGGGAAGCCCCATCTCTACCCCAAAAAACGCAAAAAATATTAGCACGCCTGTGGTCCCAGCTACTTGGCCGGCTGAGGAGAGCCTAGGGAGGTTGAGGCTGCAGTGAGCCGTGATCATGCCAGTGCACTCCAGCCTGGGCAACAGAGTGAGACCTTGTCTCAAAAATTAATGATAATAAATAAAAAGCCGTCAGTCCAATTCCATACGCGCAGTTGCCGCTGTGGTCTGTGGCCATGCCGCCGTGAACATGCTGAACGTTCTCTCATCTCAGAGGCTGGGCAGGGCCTGGCCTGGTTAGTACTTGCTGGGAGAAAGTTCATGCTGTGTGAGCTGACAGCTAGGTTTTCGTTTTCCTCGTTATACCATCCGTATATTCCTAACTTTCTACAATGAACGTAGATCATTTTTATCATTAGAAGGGGGGAATGTCAATGCCATTATTTTTTAAATAAGCTCTTTTTTTTTTTTTTTAAGACAGAGTCTCGCTCTGTCGCCCAGGCTGGAGTGCAGTGGCCGGATCTCAGCTTACTGCAACCTCCGCCTTCCGGGTTTACGCCATTCTCCTGCCTCAGCCTCCCGAGTAGCTGGGACTACAGGCACCCGCCACCTCGCCCGGTCAGTTTTTTGTATTTTTTAGTAGAGACGGGGTTTCACCGTGTTAGCCAGGATGGTCTCGATCTCCTGACCTTGTGATCTGCCCATCTCGGCCTCCCAAAGTGCTGGGGATTATAGGCTTGAGCCACCACACCTGGCCAAAAAATCAGCTCTTGAAATAGATTCACTTCTCCTTACCTTTCCGTGAAAGGGGGAAAATACCTTTCTTCCCTCTGAACAAAGTAGGCAATAGCGCAAATTAAGCAGTTTGTTTCAGATTGCATGGGTGGGCTTGGCCTCTGCGTCCCAGCAGCTGTCCTGTTGCATCTATCCAGGTTGATGTGCAAGAACCCTCTTCCCGGGGAGCCTGCCTTGGGAGTGCATGTGGTCCAGATGACGCCCTCATCCATCACCAAGCTAGCTGTGCATCCCGGGGTCAGTCCCCTGCCACCAGAGTCACATGTCATTATGACAGAAGCTGATACCAGCTGATTGCAGGAGCTGAACTTTTTTCTTCTTCCCTTGACAGTAATTCCAAAGGAAATCCAACGCTCACGCATGGAAAAGTGTCAGGACCAAAGCCCACATCCCACTCAGGGTCGGAAGTTGGAAGGGTGGAGTTTGTCTGCCCTACTCAGTTAGTCATAGGCCCCCCAACAGTATTTGCAAGGACATTGGGGTCCCCGTTTGTCCTCTGGTTGCATCTGCCACTATTGATGCGAGGACCAGCATGCTTTCCAGAAGCCCGATGCATGAGCCAGGGCGTTCCTCCGTGAATATCCAGCAGGCAAGGGAAGGAGGTGGATGAGGCTGAGCTTCTGCCGGAGGCCTGGCAGCCCCACCTCTTGTTTGTCACTAGCTTCTCTTCCTGGAGGAAGAGGCCAGGGTTGAAGCCCAGGTGCAATAAATCCAGCAGTTCTGAAGTGTGGAGAGGGCTGAGCCTTCCAGCTGGCTGCATCTGTCCCCCAAAATAAAGAGCAAGCGGAGGTAGCAAGCAGGGCCATTATGGGATCCCTGAGTTTCTGCCTGTCGTAACGCTCACTTATTTATTTATTTATTTTGGAGCGCAGTTTTGCTCTTGTTGCCCAGGCTGGAGCGCAATGGTGCAATCTCGGCTCATTGCAACCTCTGCCTCAGGTTCAAGTGATTCTCCTGCCTCAGCCTCCTAAGTAGCTGGGATTATAGGCGCATGCCACCACGCACAGCTAATTTTTTTTTCTTTCCTTTTTTTTGAGACACAGTCTTGCCCTGTCGCCCAGGCTGGAGTGCAGTGGTGTGATCTTGGCTCACTGCAAGCTCTGCCTCCCGGGTTCACGCCATTCTCCTGCCTTAGCCTCCCGAGTAGCTGGGACTACAGGCGCCCACCACCACGCCTGGCTAATTTTTTTTTTGTATTTTTTAGTAACGGGGTTTCACGGTGTTAGCCAGGATGGTCTTGATCTCCTGACCTCATGATCCTTCGGCCTTGGCCTCCCAAAGTGCTGGGATTACAGGCGTGAGCCACCGCACCCAGCCTCGCACTGCTAATTTTTGTGTATTTAGTAGAGATGGGGTTTCACCATATTGACCAGGCTGGTCTTGAACTTCTGACCTCAGGTGATCCACCCCCTTCGGCCTCCCAAAGTGCTGGGATTACAGGCATGAGCCACCGTGCCCGGACAACACTCGCTTATTTTTATTTCATTTTTTTCTTGATTTTAGTCAGGCCCATGTTCTGCTGCCCACGCTGGAGTGCGGTAGTACGATTACAGCTCACCGCAGCCTGCAAGTCGTGGCTCAAGAGGTCCTCTTGCCTCAGCCTCCCGAGTAGTTGGGATCACAGGTGTGCACTACCGTGCTCAGCTAATTTGTATTTTTTTAGAGACAGGGTCTCACTTTGTTGCCCAGGCTGGTCTCGAATTCCTGGCCTCAAGCTATCCTCCTGCCTGGGCCTTCCAAAGTTCTGAGATTATAGACATGAGCCACTGCATCTGGCCTCTCTTATTTTTTATTTATTTATTTTTGAGGCAGAGTTTCACTCTTGTTGCCCAGGCTGGAGTGCAATGGCACAATCTCGGCTCACCACAACCTCCGCCTCCCAGGTTCAAGCAATTCTTCTGCCATAGCCTCCCTAGTAGCTGGGATTATAGGCATGTGCCACCATGCCTAGCTAATTTTGTATTTTTAGTAGAGATGGGGTTTCTCCATGTTGGTCAGGCTGGTCTCGAACTCCCGACCTCAGGTGATCCACCCGCCTCGGCCTCCCGAAGTGCTGGGATTATAGGCGTGAGCCACCGCGCCCGGCCCTCTCATGTTTAAACAAAGGAAAAAAAGAAAGAAAGAAAAAGGCCATAGGTGAAAGCTTTGGTTGCTGTTGGTCTCTGTTGTATTTAGGCATTTTATTCAGACTGATCTGAGTAATTTGGCAAAGGCCCAGTAGCTGATACTTATAAATAACTACACTTGCTGTTTATCCTTTGGCCATCACTTGGGATTCTCAAGGCATTCAGAGACCTTGCCCTCTGGGACCGCTGCCCATAAAATAAATGAGGAGGTTGAGGCGGGAAGAATCTTCCCTTGGGCGTGATGAGGAACAGAAATTCCAAGATGAAGCTGGCCAGAGCTCTGCTCGGAAAGCCCCGTGTGCTGAGCCCAGCTGCCCCCATTTGCTGTCACTGGTTTTGTGGGTTTCCCAGTTGTAGCTGATGTCCTCCCCTTGCTTCCTTCTGCTCCAGTGGGCAGTGAGGGTGGAGGCAGGCACCTGCCCGCTGTCATTGCGGTTGTGGCTGGGGATTACCAGTGTTGACTCTGACTGCTCCCTCCTCATCTCCAATCACAGCTGAGGACCCTGATGGGAACCTCCCTTCATGGGACCCTCAGGGCTGACAGCTGGGGGCTTCCCACTCAGCCAGGCCCGTGCGGCATCTGCTGCCGACGGAGGCTCTGTCCCTCCTTCTCTCCCTCCAGGGTCCTCCAGCATTCTCAGGATAACTTCTGACCTCAGCATTGGCTTGGCCGTGGACAAAGGGACCGCCTTGGACCCAGCCTCTCTGTTCTTGATGTGGGGACGTGACTCTGACAACAGCCAATTCCGTCACCCAAGGCGTTTGAGCTTTCACCACACACGCCTCCCACCCCCTTTCCTTTTTCCCTTTTCCTCCAGGCTTCCCAGCCCAGGTGCTGCTGTTGGGACCCTGCTTCCTTCCCCAGAGTCAGGGCATTGTCTGTACACGAGGCCCATTCCCTGCCCAGCAGCCAAGCTCGAGGTCACCCTGTGGCACCCTGAAGGACGTGGGAGGGCCTGTGGCTGAGCCAGGGCGAAGCAGCGCTCCCTCCCCGCCGAGCGTGCATTCAGCCTGCAGAAGGGAGTCCTTGCCTCTAACCCTAAACACAGAATTCCTTGAAAGCCAGTCATCCCAGGGCAGAGCAGGCCTATGTCCTTTCTGGCTTTCTCTTGCTCCCGGTCCCATAGTCAAAATTTTCTCAGCAGCAGTGAACTCAGAGGCCAATCCGTCATTCCTCTGGCAGAAACTGCAAGGCCCACGTAGCAGAAGGGAGACGTTGAAACTGTGGGGTCTCTCCCTTGGAGCAGCGGTTAGAAATGTGTTGATCTGAGCCAACAGGGCCTTGTACAATCAATTCTCCCACTAAGAAACTGGCGGGGTGCCCCCTCCAGCAGAATGCCAGAGCCAGCGTCTCCTTAGAGTCCCTGAAGCGCCAGCCTCCTCACCACATGGCCGTTGTCGGGGTTCTGCCAATTCGCAAGGTCCTCCAGACGTTGTTTACATGGGTATTGTCTGTGTTCAGGCTGCTGTGCATGTTCTTGAACCACACGCGTCTTGTTGGGGTCAGTCCATGAAAGTCTCCATGTGACTGGGCACGTGGATAGCGTGGAGCATGCCAGCAGTCCTGGGGTGCACACGTGTTTGTATGTACAAACGAAGGTCTATTCAGGGCGGTAAACTTCACCACCACGGGAACAAAGCTGCTTTCTCCTCTGAACCTAAATGACTTAGAGAAAAAACATGCAATTTGTAAATTGCCTGGACATTCTCAGAGAGACAGCAGCTTGGCCCAGAGGATAATCTTTGTTTTGTAGCATTCTGTTCCTGGCAGATTATAGTATGATGTCCTTTTTAAAGGAGAAGGAGGAGGAGCAGAAGGAGGAGGTTGGGCTGACTGAAAAACTGGAAAACTTTTTATCTAGGGTGGCAACGTTAAGTACTTTCTGAAATGTTCTTTGCATGCATTTGGGCCGTTAAAAAGAAAAACAAACGTGAACTACGTTTTCATTTCCTGGAATCCATGTTACTTATCTTTGGGATGCGGTCTAGAGAGAGCAAGCAAAGATGGTGGTCACAAAATGCACAGGACGTAGGAGAATCCTACCCCAAACCCAGGCTCTCTGGGGATGACCGGGAGCTCAGGAATGGTGACAAAAGTCCAGCCAACCTCCTATAAAATAACTTCTGAAGCACTTCCTACCAGAGGCCCTACAACCATACGAAACATTGCAACAACTCATTTTGCAGAGACCTGGAATCTTGTAGGTCAAAGTGATCTACCAGGTCAGCGGTCCCCGAGGCAGGGCTCATCTCCACACCAGTGCTGATTTTGAGAGCTCCTGTTAGGAGAAAGAGGCCCGAGGGGGTAGCATGAATGGGCATACGGTCACGGCCACAGCCGCGTGGCTGGTCTGAGCACGCCTCCATCCCTGGAATCTGGGACACTTGCGGCTCACGTGGTTTTTGAAGAATCCTCTATGGAACTCCTGTTTGGTATTTCCTTCCCAGAATGTCTTCATCCCGGGCCCCTTTCTGTTATTTTCCCGTCTTCTCAGGTGTCCCCTTTGTGTCTGAAAAACATAAGGCAGAGCAGAAACGCCCTGTGTAACCGGATCTCGAGACGCTGGCCTCGTAGGGGTAATCCTGCCCGCCCCTTGCAGCTGGAGGAACCCGAGGCTAAGACACCCACTCCTGGCCTCACTCCTCACCTTTCCACACCCCTGGCAAATATCCCACCTTCCCCTGTGGCCAAATGGAAAGGGCAGACTGCACTGCCCTACCGTGTTTTGTTTGTTTGTTCGAGACGGAGTCTTGCCCTGTTGCCCAGGCTGGAGTGCAGTGGCTCGATCTTGGCTCACTGTAACCTCTGCCTCCCAGGTTCAAGTAATTCTCCTGTCTCAGCTTCCCGAGTAGCTGGGATTACAGGTGCACGCCACCACGCCTGGCTAATTTTTGTATTTTTAGTAGAGACAGGGTTTCACCATATTGGCCAGGCTCGTCTTGAACTCCTGACTTCGTGATCCACCCGCCTTTGCCTCCCAAAGTGCTGGGATTATGGGCGTGAGCCACAGCATCCAGCTATCTGCCGTGTATTTTAAACGCTGTGAGGTGTGTTCATGCAACATGCAAGAAGAGCAGGTGATTCTGATGCTCACCTGGGTTCTTTTCCTTCTGACAGATCCGTGCATTGAGGGCTCGAAAAGCACATTTGTCTCTAGTGTTACAGATTTGCTTCCCAACAGCCAGTGAAGCTGGGTAGTGACAGCCTCCCGCGGTGACGAGACAAGTGTGCCGGCACAGAGGCCTCCCCTAACCTCAGTCCTCTGCCCCCAGCTCCCCGCCGGCCCAACAGCTGTCCTTCCTGCACAGCGGCCTCCTGAGCACCCTCTACCTGCACATGCCTGACTGCCCGGCGCCCCTGCTCCGGTGGCTGTTCCAGGTGAGGACGCGGGCCTGCCACTAGGTGGCGGGAGCGCTGCAGTCTGGTGGCCTGGCAGGCCCGCACGCCGAGGGGTGGGCACTTCACCTCTTGCCTTAGGTGCTGCTGGGCTGGGCTCAGGCTGGGTGGGAGGAGGGAGGAGAGCTGATTGGGCATCGATCCCCACCATAGTGCTAAGAATGCCAAGGTCAGGGAGGTGCAGGGGGTTCGCCTGTGGTCTCCCAGAGCGGCGAGCACTGGGAGCCTCTGCTTCCCTCGAGGATGTGTCTCTGGGTGCTGCCTGTGCCCTCAGCGTGGCTTTCCTGAGGGACCTGGTGTACCCAGTGGACTTACTGTCTAACCTCTCAATGAACGGGTCCAAGCCCCTCAACAAGTGCTTCCTATACGACAAAGCTAATTTCTTCACCAGCGGTCACAGGTCCCTCATCCCATAAGCAGCGGGAGGGCCGCTCAGGGCCCACGGCAGTCCTGCAGCGCCTGAAGTGTGGGCCCTCGTGGGTTTGGAGCTGAGGGTGCTCGGGTGTTAGAGCGCGTGCTTCCCGTATACAGTCGTAGGTTGGCTGGGAAAGCCTGGAACAGCTGCCCTGACTGCCCCGTTTTTTTCCTCCTGGTTGCTGCTAGAACGTTTTGCCATAGGGGAACATGCATTTTGCCCAGGGCTTGACACCTTTGCACAGAGACAGGCAGTGAGAAGCCAGCAGGGATAGCCCAGGAGCCAGCCACTGTGATCTGAATGCCAGGCATGAGGATGCCGTCCTGGCCTTGGCCCCACCCGGAATCATCCCTGTCTGGGGACAGGCGGGTCACAAGTTCCAGCTGGTCCCATTCCTGCCAGTTGGAGCCTGGACCCCAGCTGTAAATCAGAGCCATCATGTGGGGTGGATTATTCCAGGAGCGGCTCGGCCTCGGCAGGCTGGCTGCAGTCCAGAGAGAGCCCTCCCGCTCTCCCTTCGTGCTCTGGGTCCTTCACCTTGCTCCTCCCTACCCCGGAGGAGGAAGACATGAGGCTTCTGGGGCCCTGGTGTGTAGCTGCTAACCTTGCCAGCCCCCAGTCCCCCACCCAAGGCCCAGAAGGAGCAGTGGGTGAGTAACGGGGAACAGTGGGGCCATTATTCCCCACGCTGGCCGCTGCAGCCCCTGCTCCTTGCACAGTGTATGACGGAACACACAATTGAGCATTGGGAGCCACAAAGGACCCATCTGAGACGGCGCCCACAGAGGGGCCCTGCGTGACCCTGACACGGCGTGGAGTGCCTTCCTGGGGGCGTGTCGGTTGCCTCTGGGTTCAGAGACCCCCATCCTGGGAGGCACAGGCGAGCCTTCCCCTGTCTCCTTCCCCATCTCCATCATGCTGGGAGGGGCCTGGAGGGGAGAGGAATTCAGGACCCAGCCCTGAGGTCAGACAGACAGACAGACCTGGTGTGAGTTCTGGCCCTGCCACCTACTCCTGTGTTGCCATGGGTGGGTTTCTTAGCATCAGCTCTGTGCCTCGGAGCCAGGCCCGAGGGGCCCATGTGGAGGGAAGTAGGACATCCCGTGAGCTGCCTTGTCCTGGTGCCCTTGCAGAGCTCTGCTCTGGGCCTGGGTGTCCTGCAAGGCACGCTGTTAGTGCAGAGTCCAGTTCACATTTTGCAAGAAGGAGAAACAAGATCTCCCACCCCCCATGGCTGAATCTAGATCCATGAAAGGGGCATCCTGGCTTTGGGGGGCCTTCTGGGCAGTGTCCTCAGGGGACTTACAACCTCGAGCAGTTACTGGGGGCTGTGGTTGTGGGAGGCGGAAAACCCATGAGGGCTCCTTCCGCAGGTGCGAGGGTGGTTCCTGAGGTCCCGGGGTGGGGGCGTGCTGGGCCCCAGGAGGAGCTGGACCCAGGGATGGGGAAGGGTTGGGATCCCAGGACTGGCCTCTGCTGCTGTCTCACCACAGGCTCCATGGCCAAGTAAGGCCAGACCCTGTTCCCAAATCTGGTTCCTTAGGAAGGAGAATCTGGTTAGGCTAAGAGGGGTTAAGTGGTCCCCTTATCCAGTCAAAGGCAGCTAGGGAAGTGGGGTCCCAGGGCTGCCGGGGCCACGCCTGTACCTGGGGTCCCTACTGAACCAGGGTGGGGTGAGGTGGTCAGACTGCTCCAACCCTGCTCCTTCGACGTTCTTGGAAAGGACAGCCTGAGTTCTCTCAGGGATTCGGTCCCGTGTACTCCTCCCAGGGGCTTTAATAGGGTGTGCATGGGACTGGCTGAGCTGTGCCCTCGTGTGGGCCAGCCTTGCCGGGAGAGAGAACATCAGCAGGAGGTGTACACCCTCAATGAACGTATGTTCTTATTGGGAGAGACTCAAGCGTTCAGCCAAGAAAATGTAAGAGGTTATGGCAGGAGGAGAAAGGCAGAGTTCTAGATGCCAAGCAGGAGGTGTCCACACAGGCTTCCTGGGGGCGGGCTTGGGAACCACCCTGTGAGGGGGAAGAGCGTGTGGCCCTAGGCAGTCCCGCTGGGCTCTGGAGCCTGGTGACCTTAGAGTTGACCCAGTTGGGGCGAGGTCTCCAGCCTTGGCCAGTTATCACACAGACACTTGGTGAGGGCTGTGACCCCGGACTAGGCGCTCCCTCCATGGTCAAGGCTCAGAGAGGGCCCTGGGCTCAGGGCCCTGGCAGCAACAGTGCCCAGCCCCCGGGGGAACAAGAGCCTCAGTCCTGAAAGGAGATGTGCCCACAGTGCCCACAAGGCAGACTTCCCTGGGTACTGGGGAGGAACGATGTCGTGCACAGCGTGGCGGTCACGGTCAGGAGCTTGCTGAGTGCCCCTAGACCAGGTGGCACCTGTGGGCTGCTGCTGTCCCATTGCTCGTTCCCTCGTCAGCCTCTCTGCATGTTCCCAGACCCCAGCTTCTGACCATCAGGCTCCAGGAACATTCAGATAAGGATCCCAGAAATGACCACCCCGCCCTTGTTTGAGGACCTGTGTTTGGTACCTTGGAAGGACCTTCCAACCTGGTGGTCTCAGATGACAGTGAGTTAAGGCGCTGACCTGGAAATGATTCATGGATCACGGAGAAGGCCCACCCTGTGATTGTCCTGCCGCCTGTGATCAGTGCAGGCTTTCTGTCCCTTACACGGGGCCCTGCCCTGGAGGGCCATGGCTGTGACCACAGGGAGCGAGGGGCAGGGGGACCAAGACCCCCATGCCAGGAGGTGGACGGAGTAGGAGGTTTCAGGTGACACAGACCTGGGTGTCTGGGCCTGGGTGCTGGCTTTGCTGCTCACAGGCTGTGTGACTCTGGGGAAGTCGTTTGACCTCTTTGAGCTTGGTTTTCCATCTTTCAATTGGCAACAGTGACAGTGTCCTTCTACCTCATGGACTTACGAGGATTAAATGGGATTTATTTAATGTGAAGTCGTAGAAGTTGCTACTATTGCTTTTTAGGAATGACCCAGCTAACCAGTTTTTTTGTTTTTGTTTTTTGTTTTTTTTTTTCCACCTAGCTGCTGACTTGGCCTCCAGAAACATCTTTGGGAGCCTTCGGTCTTCTGTGGGATCTCAGTGTGGATGGAATCTTCCTTCAGCCGGGTCAGTACTGGGATGCAGGGTGGAGACTGGTGCGCTGAGCTCCCACGACTCTTAGTGCCTGGAGCCCAGCTGCAGGGGAGATGCTGGTGGGACGTTGCATCACTAGGGGGTGGCGGCATCAGGCCATCTTTGGCTCAGCCTCCAGCATTAGTAAAAAGCTGAACCAACAGGCCCCTTGGCACCTTGAACTGGCCTCAGATCTCAGTCCCCGTGGCCACGGCCAGGCTGACCTCACTGCTCTTGGGATGCCAGAGCAGTCCAGGACAGTGGGTTCAGACTGAGACAGGCTCTAGGTCTGAGGGGACAGCTTGCTCCCAAGTCCTTCCTGAAAGCGCTGGTTAGCTTGGGAGGGTTCCAGGAACATCCGCATCAAATCAGGCTGCCCCTTGGGTTGGAGTCACTGAAGGGAAGAGTCTGAAGCTGTCTCCCTCGCTGACAGCCTTCCTTGGCTGATAGGACATCCACAGTGCCCCTGAGTTTGGTCTGGGTGGGAATGAGAGCCTCAAGCTGGTGCCTTGGTTGTGGCATTTAGGTGGTGTATTTAATTCCTCTTTATAATGCTTTCAGATGTTTAGAGTTCCACAGAAGGAATTAATTTCCCTCCTAGTGGCTGCACCCTCCCTAGACTGTCATCATTTGGTACCTGAACCTAGACACTTCGGCACCAAAAAATATCATGTAACCAGTTGAAAGCTGCTTAGGCAGACAGTGAGAGGGACTCCCAGGTGGTTAGACCCAGCCTCTGCCCCAGCTGTAGGCTGCGCACCCCAGAGCAAGAAAGCACATGGCCCTGAAGGCTAAGGCTCTAGACCAGGATGTACCATGAACCCCCAGCCCTTTGAGTTTCTCCTTTTGTGCCTATTCTGCTTCAGGAGTTGGCTGAGCTGGGACCATCTGTCAAATTAGAGCATTCCAGACTCCTCCGCCCCGCTCTCCATGGAGCCCTCTAACCGAGGTCTTCTGAATAGCACCAGTCTCAACACCCTCTCCCTTTTCGTAACCTCTGCCCCTGTAGCCCCTGATGCCCTTTGGAGCCCCAGGGGCCGCCTCTGCGACATGCCTGCCCTTTAGGCGAACAGAGGCCTCCCTTGTCCTGCTCCCTGCAGTGGTATGTGTCTCCTCCTCTGAGGCTGAGGGGACGCCCCACTCTCCTTTGCTTCTTGCCACGTTGTCTCTGTTGCGCTCCCCATTAGGAGGGGTCAGAAACAAGCTCTTGAGCCCCCTGTCAGCTCAGCTCTGGTTCTTCCAACTCCAGAGGATCTCCCGTGGACACTACCTGAGAGCCCAGCCTGGGATTCTGTTTCCCTGCCCAGGGGACCAGGGACTGGCCTAGAGAAGTCCATGCCTGGGGTCAGGATCACAACTGGTGTGGGGAAGTGAGAGGCCCGGTCCGTTAGAGAACTGAAGGCAGGGACTAGAGCAGATGGTTGCATACCCAGGTTCTTACCACGTCATTCACAATAGCTAAGAGGCAGAAGCAATCCAAGTGTCCATCCATGAATGGATAAACAAAATGTGGTACGTGCATACAGTGGAATATTATTTGGCCTTAAAAAGGAAGGAAATTCTTTGAATGTCCATGATGCATTATTTTAAAAAAAGAGAAGGAAATTCTGACACATGATACAAAATGGATGAACGTTGAAAACATTATGCTGAGTGAAATAACATACAAAAGAACAAACATGTATATGAGGTACCCAGGGTAGTCAAATTCGTAGAGACAGAAAGTGGAATGGTGATTACCGGGGGCTAGGGGAAGGAGAGAGTGGGGAGTTACTGTTTAATGGGTACAGAGTTTCAGTTTTGCAAGAAAAAAGAGTTCTAGAGATGGATGGTGGTGGTGATTGTACCACAGTGTGAATGTACTTGCTACCACTGAACTGTGCACTTAGAAATGGTTAAGGTGGTAAACTTTATGTTATGTGTATTTTACCACAACTGAAAAAAAAAAAAAAAGCCAGGTCAAGAGCAAAAGGGCCAGGTGCCCAGAGAGAATCTGTCAGAAGTCAGGACTAAAGATCAACTGCCATTTCAGGAAGCATTTCTAAGGTTAAATCAGATCCAGGATTGATGCAGAAGGAAGTCATGCTCCTCAGGATTTCACTAATAGCCTGGGGCTCTTGAGTGTCTGAGAGGACGGCAGGCCTCTGGCGCACAGAGCTCAAGGTAGACTGGGGCTGTCTCCCTTGCCACATATCTATGATTCGTGTGTGCGCGCGCACGTGCGTGTGTGTTCAAGTCGCTTCTCATACGTAAGCAGGAGATTTGTTTGTGTGTAAACTCCCATCCTTTCCTGGAGCTTGTGGTGACCAGCAGTTCTTTCCAGACTGTCCTAGGGAGAGTCTTACACCATTGCCTTTATCCCCACCTACTGAGTAAGGGAAGAGCTGAGGGGACCAGGACTTAAGAGTATTGACAGCCAGGCGCGGTGGCACAAGCCTGTAATCCCAGCACTTTGGGAGGCCGAGACGGGCGGATCACAAGGTCAGGAGATCGAGACCATCCTGGCTAACACGGTGAAACCCCGTCTCTACTAAAAATACAAAAAATTAGCCGGGCGTGGTGGCGGCGCCTGTAGTCCCAGCTACTCGGGAGGCTGAGGCAGGGGAATGGTGTGAACCCGGGAGGCGGAGCTTGCAGTGAGCCAAGATCATGCCACTGCACTCCAGCCTGGGTGACAGAGCCAGACTCCGTCTCACAAAAAAAAAAAAAAGAGTATTGACTATTATGGGTGTGCTCCAGTGACTGAGGCTGAGGGCCTGAGTGGCCCAGGGCTCCCGTGTGCTGGGGCGGGGGGTGACGGGGAATTGTATTCCTGGATAGGGAAGCAACACATGTGCATGTCAGCTGTGCAGAGCGTGGTGCACTCAGAGAGGGGATGCTCTGGCACGTCGCCACGCCTCAGTGCAGTGAGTGTTCGTTCATTTATTCAGCTAAGACATTGAGCACCTCCTTCCTCAAGCGCTTCGCTGGATGGCAGAGAGAGGAGCGGGGATGAGTAAAGCACGGGCCTCTTCTTAGGAGGCTGATAGGTGGGAGGGGATTAAATGAGCAGTGACCATCAGAGCCAGAAAGGAGGCAATGGAAAGAGGAACTACCTGTAGGCAGGTGGGTTTGGGGTGTGGGGAGGCAGGAACCAGGAAGTTCTTTGTAGAAGATGAGACAGTTGAGCCATCTGTGCCAGAAAGCAGGGACTGCAAACTCAGTTGCCTGTGGGGACCGAGTGAGCAAAGTCTGAGAGCTCCTGCCCGGTGTAAAAGGACTGTCTGCATCAGGTTTGGTGCAGGTAAACACAGGTCTGGTGTTCCCAAACCTCTTCATTTTCAAGAGAAGCCACATTTTAGTTAGGTTGTATTTTGACTGTTTGATAACAAACACCAAGAGCAGTTTGTTACCTCACATGACAAGGAGTTCAGAGGCAGGTGATTCGGTCACACGTTCAGTAGATGTGCACTCTGAGGACTCTGGATTCTGCGTGTGCCTTCTCACTACCTCCTCTCCGGGTTGCAGAATGGCTGCCGCAGCTCCCAGCACCATTGTGTTCTCAGGAGACAAGAGTGTTGAGGGCAGCAGAGGAAAGGATGGGACGTACGAGGTCGCTGCTTCTCATACTTTCCTCTCTTTTTATCAGAACAGTTTTTGCATTTTGTTTCATTAGAACTGGGTCACGGGCTTTCGAGTCACTTGCCATGTTGTTTGTCCTTTGAACATCACGGCTGTGTCTGAGGAATTTCCAGCCTCATGAATCCTATCCCTTTAGGGTGGAATGCATGAGATTTACTCTTCCAGTCTTTTTTTTTTTTTTTTGAGATGGAGTCTCGCTCTGTCACCTAGGCTGGAGTGCAGTGGCGCAATCTCGGCTCACTGCAACCTCTGCCTCCAGAGTTCAAGTGATTCTCTTGCCTCAACTTCCTGAGTAGCTGGGACTACAGGCACACGCCACCATGCCCGGCTAATTTTTGTATTTTTAGTAGAGATGGGGCTTCACCATATTGGCCAGGATGGTCTCCATCTTCTGACCTTGTGATCCACCAGCCCTGGCCTCCCAAAGTGCTGGAATTAGAGGTGTGAGCCACTGCGCCCAGCCTAGGTTTATTTTTCTAGTCTCTTTTAAGATACTTGAAGTTTTAGTTTTCAAATTTCCATTTAGTCCTTTTTTTTTTTTTTTTTTTTTTTTGAGACAGGATCTTGCTCTGTCCTTCAGGCTGGAGTGCAGTGGCACAATCATGGCTCACTGCAGCCTTAACTTCCTAGGCTGAAATGATCCTCCCACGGTGTCTGGGACTACAGGTGCACACCGCCATGCCCAGCCAGTTTATTTTTATTTTTTGTTGAGACAGGGTCTCCGTATATTGCCCAATTGCCCAAGCTGGTCTCAAACTCCTGGGTTCAAGGAATTCTCCCACCTTGGCCTCCCAAAGTGCTGGGATTATAGGTGTGAGCCACCACACCTGGCCCTTTATTTCTTTTAATAGTTTCTGTCTCTCTCCTGGGATTTCCTATTTGTTTATTGAGTATGAGCAAACTTTCTTTTAACACCTTGGACATAGCCATAATAGCTGCTTTGAAAATCCTTGTCTGTAATTCTAACATCTGGATCATCTAAGTCATTACATGGAATGTTTAGTATGAGAGTGAATGCTTGTTTAGAATAAGTAGAGAAATCATCCCAAATACTTAGGCCTTGGGAGGTTCAAGTTGCTTTCCACTGAGCTCAGGATTTTTTCTTATAGCAATGCTTGTTCATTGCAACCTGACTTCGCTTCCCATCCTGGAGCACTCACGGAGGCACATGCCGGTGAGGGACCCCGGAACCTAAGCTTAATTACCTTGATGGTTAACTGGCTTCTGGCATATAATAAACCTGTTTTCTGCTGAAATAGCAAGCTCCTGTTTCTGTTGCCTGCGACTCAGAGCTCTGACTGCTCAAATAACCACCCTTAGGCCAGTCTCAGCAAAGGTGAGTGGAATGCCATTGTTCTTCCGCTGGGGTGGAC